TCTCGCTCTTGCTCAGGCTGGTTTCGAACTCCTGAGCTCAAACAATCCGCCCGCCTCGGCCTCCCAGAGAGCTAGGATTACAGGCGTGAGCCACCATGCCTGGCGCCACTTTTTTTTTTTTTAACAGAACACCATTTTTACTTGAAAAAAAATGACTGACAAAAACTGTGATTATTTGAAATTAGGTATTTGGCAGACATTTTCTCAAAAATGAACAAAGTCATTATTTGTGACCAGTGATAAAATTTTAGATCTCTCCAGGAGGAGCTAAGAAGAGAAAAATTGTAGATATCAAGCAGAAATTAGAATTTTAGAAAAGTTGTTATCTTGATCCACCCATCACAGAATTTTATTCGTTTATATCGCTACTGATCTCATCATAAAAGTACTTAAAGCATTGGCAAATTGGTGGGTGTATTTTAGTTAATTGTAGCATTATTCTTCTTGATGTCCACATTGTCCCATCTCTGGCCGATGGCAGCCCCTTCAAGTGAGTACTCAGTGGTCTCTGACAACATCCTTGCTTTCTGGCACAGCAAACGTCTGCTGTCTCTGACCCACACCTGGAATCAACAGTTTCTCCAAGGTGCTTTATTTTGTTTTGTGGAAATTCATGCTGAGATAACTGTTTCAAACTTGGTTTACAGGTTTTTTACTTAACATCTTTCATTTTATGTTTGTATTTCTTATGCTAAAAATCCTGGGTCTTAACATGATTCTTGTCAGATTATATCAGCTTAAAAATATAAAATCAAAATATTTACATTTTTGGTGGCACACGCCTGTAGTCCCAGCAATTCTGGAGGCTGAAGCAGGAGGATCGCTTGAGCCCAGGTGTCTGAGGTTGCAGTGAGCTATGATCATGCCACTGCTTTCTAACCAGGGTGACAGAGTGAGACCCTGTCTCAGGAAAAAAAAAGAAAAAGTTTTGTTTTTTATTTAATTTTATACAGTATTTTTAGTTCCAAGGTCAAAAACTATAAGAAATGTTCAGAGGGGTCTAGTTTGTGTCCTGTCCCTTCCTATATATAACCATTGTTACTAATTCTTGGTTTATCTTTCCTTATTTTATGCAAAAGCAAATATGTGTATGTATTTTTATTTACCCTCCTTTCTTACCCAAAATATAGCATACTCTTCTGCACTTGCTTTTTTCACTAACAGTGCATCCTGGCAGTACCTCCACAGCAATCATAGAAATTTTCCTCTTTCCTTTCTGAAACTGACTAGTATACCATTGGATGTAATACCAGAGTTTATTTACTGACAGAGCTTATTGATGGACATTCAGGGTTGTATCCAGGTTTTTTTCTGTTATAAATAAATAGTGCCACAATAAATAAATTTTTATACACATCATTTCATACTTCTGCCCCAGGATATCTTTGGGCTAGACTCCTATAAGAGGCATTACTGAACCTGTGCCAGGTTTGCCTCCATCATGGTTATACTGCTTCATTTTTTCACCAAGTATGTGCAAGACTGCCTGTCGCCCCACAGCCTCAACAGTGGAGTCTGTTGTTAAACTTGGTTTTCACTCATTTGATCTTTTGTTTGCTTATACTATTCTTTGCTGTTCAAAAGTGTTTTATGTGTCAGTCTTTTCCCTTATTCATTCTACGTTCTGAGTCAGATTTAATACAAATTTTTCCATGTTTTCTAGTACTTGAATGGTTTCCTTTTTTATATTTAGCTCTTTTAAATTTATTCACAGGTAATTTTTTAAACTACTAGCATATGTAACTGAAGAGATGACTATTAATAGTTATGTTTACGGAAATAAATACTAAATGGTTAGTGTCTTCTTTACTAAATTTGTGTCTGAATGTATGCTTTTCTGGTTTCTCAGCATGAAGACTTTTTACTTGCCTTGCAGATGAATGAAGAACAGTATCAAAAGGTAGTTTGAAATTTCACATTATTTCTTTATTCTGCTTATTTTCATGGGCTGTTTTCTCATAGCACATTTCCTCAGCATTTTGATGGCCAATTTTTTTTTGTATAAGCTATTGACCTGCGGATTTTGAGGTTCAGCCAAGTTATAGTCAGATACATGAACTAGTATAGTCAGTCTTAATACCAGACTGAATCAGAATTGAAGGGAAGCTAATAATAGATGTTCCTGTTAAAAAACATTACCTGAAATCCATCAGATAGGCTCTTAGAGGAAAATTTAGAACTTAGATGTCACTTTGGAGTTAAAAGGAAGAGAGATGTCTAACCCAAGGGTGAGTTGGGTTTCTGTATGAGATTTGCATGTTTATATAGACCTTTTCTAATATGGATAAGAATGGTTGATGATTGGATCAATCACTGCAGTTAATAAAAGTAGTAAATGTCCTGGTACCTTACTTGAGGTTGCTGATTTAGTTAGCTTCAGTAGCGCCTTAAGATAAAGCTTGGGCTGGGATACCACCCCTTCACACCCCTCTCTTAAGACAAAAAGAAAAAACTCCAACTTTCAAAAGCTTTTTGGATAACATCTCTCATACCACTTACCTCTGCCTTTTATAATCAGGGTAGCCTCTGATTATGGATGTTATAGCTCCTTTCGTGCCATGGAATTGATGAATATGATAACTTTCTAAAGGATTTTTAAAAGGCCAGGTGCAGTAGCTCACTTTGGGAGGTCAGCACTTTGGGAGGTCAAGGCAGGAGGATTACTTGAGGCCAGGAGTACAAGACCAGCCTGTGTAACTTATCAAGACCCTGTCTCTACAAAAAATTTGGCCGGGCGCGGTGGCTCACGCCTGTAATCCTAGCACTCTGGGAGGCCGAGGTGGGTGGATCCCTCAAGGTCAGGAGTTCGAGACCAGCCTGAGCAAGAGCGAGACCCCGTCTCTACTAAAAATAGAAAGAAATTATCTGGACAACTAAATATATACATATATATATAAAAAATTAGCCGGGCATGGTGGTGCATGCCTGTAGTCCCAGCTACTTGGGAGGCCGAGGCAGGAGGATCGCTTGAGCCCAGGAGTTTGAGGTTGCTGTGAGCTAGGCTGAAGCCACGGCATTCTAGCCCAGGCAACAGAGTGAGACTCTGTCGAAAAAAAAGAAAAAAAAAAAATTTAAAAATTTGCTGGGCATGATGGCATGCCTGTGGTCCCAGCTATTCAGGAGGCTGAGGCAGGAAGATCACTTGAGCCCAGGAGTTCAAGGGAACAGTGAGCTATGATCATGCCACTGCACTCCAGCCTGGGTGACAGAGCAAGACTCTGTCTCAAAACAAAAACAGCAACAACAAAACACATGAAAAGCTCACTGTCTTTAGCTTTAAGTTAATATTGTGCTAACATCTTGAGCTACGTTTACGTAGCAGAAAACAGCTTGTCATTGTTTTACAGCCTCTAGGGGTTTCTTTTTTTTTTTTTTTTTGAGACAGAGTCTCTGTTGCCCTGCCTAGAGTGCCATGGCGTCAGCCTAGCTCACAGTAACCTCAAACTCCTGGGCTTAAGCAATCCTCCTGCCTCAGCCTCCCAGTTAGCCGGGACTACAGGCATGTGCCACCATGCCCAGCTAATTTTTTCTGTATATATTTTTAGTTGTCCAGCTAATTTCTTTCTATTTTTAGTAGAGATGGGGTCTCGCTCTTGCTCAGGCTGATCTCGAACTCCTGAGCTCAAATGATCCGCCTGCCTCGGCCTCTCAGAGTGCTAGGATTACAGGCATGAGCCACTGCACCCGCCCTAGGGGTTGCTTTTTACCTCAGAATATGTGTGTGGTGTCAGGAGGGGAGGGTCTGGATATGAAGATATGAGACAAGACAACTCCTCTGCTTGAGCATAGGACATTTCATGTTTGTCTCTGATGGCCTTCAGGATGGCCAGTTGATTGAATGCCGCTGCTGCTATGGGGAATTCCCATTTGAGGAGCTGACGCAGTGTGCAGATGCCCACTTGTTCTGCAAAGAATGTCTCATCAGATATGCCCAAGAGGCAGTCTTCGGATCTGGAAAGGTAAGAACTATGTAATATGTCCACACACAGGAAACATTCAGAGTCTGAGGAAATGTTGATAGACAAGTATAAATGTCTCGTGGAAGTGCCTCTCCTGGGGTAAAGTGGCACTCTGCTAATATGCAGATATGTGTGCATTACCTGATTTTGTTGTGATTTTGTGTGATTTGGTTGGTTCTAGCCACATGAGATTTCTTTTCAGGAAATGGTAGAATTCTTCCATGCCCCTTTCCCTAGCTCCCCCAGAGCACCAATTTCATTACTCATCTTCCTATTCATAATCAAAATAAAGGATGAACTCAAAAAGAGACAGCCTTGCAGCCTTTTTGAATGTATGAGAGTACATGAGTATTTGTTTTACAAATTTTTAAATGGATTTTTAGAGTTGGATTAAAATATGTATATATTAAAATAACTATTTTACACAAGATCATATTTCTCTGTCCAGAGCCAGTTTCTCTTGACATCAGCATAAGATAACATGGAGAGGAATTTTTTATTGTGTCATACCAGTAAGTTTGTAGTATTTTGTTCCAGCACCAATAAAAAACTAATGCACTGATTAAGAACATGGCTTTTTTAACATCACCAGTCAAAAGACACATCAACATCACATACTCCCTGGTGGTGAATTAAGAACTTGCCAAAAATGCTAATTTCAATCTAATCATGAGACAAATCCAAATTAAGAAACATACAAAATTACTGACCTTTACTTTTTAAAAGTATCAAGGTTGTAAACAGAAGCAGTGAGGTACTCACAGGTTGGAAGAAACTAAGGAAACATGACAACTATTAATAGATACCATATGGGATCCTGGACCAGAAAAAGGACATTAGTGGAAAACCTGGTGAAATCCAAATAAAGGCTGTGGTTCAGTTAATAGTATTGCACCACTGTTAATTATCTGGTTTGTTTAAATACTCTATGATAACATAAGATGTTAACATGAGGAGAAGCTAGGTGAGGAAGATACAGAAACTCTACTATTTTTGCTGCTTTTAAAAAGTCTGATGTTATTTTAAAATAAAAATTTTGTTTTTTTCAAAGAATGTGACCTTTGGAGTTGAGCAGAATGCATTGGGCCTTGGGCTCCCTACTTACCTGCTCTGTGACCTTGAGCAAATTAGTTCAGTTCCTCAAGACAGTTTCCTCCTCTGTAAATTGGAAATAATCATGGGATTGCTGTGAAAGTTAAATGAGATGAGTTTAAAGAACGTATTGTTAGATGCACAGTAATGCTCCATAAATTTAGCTACTATTGTTTTTAAGATGTTGTCTTTTTCCATTTGTTTTCTTTGGTGTCTTTGCTGTTGGAAGTGTTCCTCAGATGTCTGAGGACATCATATTAAAGAGCCATTTGAAGCTGTTTGAGTAGTGGGGCTTTTTAGACTGGTGAGTTTGACTCTAGGTGCCTGGATAGCCAGTTAGTTTTTGTATTATGAACCCTAAATGATATTATCTTAGGTCTTTTTCCTGGGCCAAATCAGTGTACCTCCTGCCTAGCAGGTATAAGCCCATCTTCCAACATTCTGGAGCTGAGTGGGAGGAAGGAGCTGGAGAATTCCCTCTTCATTATGTAGGCTGCATTTCAAGCCCTGACTTTGGACCACACCTCAGATCTGCCTTTCTCTATGACTAGTTCCCAGCCAGAACCTTCTGGTCCAGCTGTTCACGAGATCTTCCTGCTTCCACTCAGAGTCTGTAGGAACTAGAGGCTGAAAAACTGTTTTCAGTTTTTTCCTATCTGTCCCTGCCCCCTCCCCAACACTCAGCTCTGCCTCCCAGGGGTGTCCAGCTTTCCAAGATTTGTAGCTGGAAGCAACTTGCTTCACACCAGCATCTCTTATTCAGACACTGGGCTGTGGCCTTCTTCCTCTAGTCTGCTAAGCCGTTTTCCCTTCCTCCATCCACTTTCCATCTTCATGGATTGTGATTTGGGCTTATAGAAGTCCTCTAGAGGTATCAAAGATGGACTTTGTGATTTTTGTTTCATAGTTTCCTTGATTTAAATGTGATTTCTTAGAGAAGAGGAGGCAGAGAGATCTTTACTCTGCCATCTAAAGATCTGTATTTTTAGCCACTATTTATTTGCTTCCCATTGAAAGATGCCTTTAACTACTGAGGCTTTTTGTTTTTCTATAAATTTGGTTGAATTTTCTTTTCTTTTCTCTTTGCCTACTTACTTTTATCATTCTAGTCAGAGCTCAGCTGCATGGAAGGCAGCTGCACATGTTCATTCCCCACCAGTGAACTGGAGAAAGTGCTTCCCCAGACCATCCTGTGTAAATACTATGAGCGAAAAGCCGAGGAAGAAGTTGCTGCAGCCTACGCAGATGAGCTTGTCAGGTTAGTTCTCAGAGTCAGAAGGTGTTACCTGTCACCTCATTCCCCATTGTGAAGACTGCCTCAGCACTTTCATCAGATGATGGAAACTTTGTAACAAAGCTGTATCTTCCAGATTTTTTGGGCATTGCTTGCTGAGAAATAAGATAGTCCATTAGTTTTACTAATGGAAAAATCTACAGCTCAAATTTTTATCTGCGTTCCTTGGCACCTCCTAATCTTCTGGCCCATAGGTATGATCATTGCAGGCTGGGTTGGAGGAAAATTGGCATGTGCAAGGAGTTCTCATTAAGGTTGGGAAGTGTCTATTGAATGGTTTGTTCTGAGTGAGGACCTAAAATGCTGCCTGTGTTTTCTGGTAAGAGCCAGCACAAAAAAGAGGCTCAATCCATGTGTTAATGAAAATGAAGGAGTAAAAAAGCAATGTGACTGTCCTGCTCAAAACTCCCATCTTAGTGTGAACCAGATCAGTCTTTAGTATTTCAAGTAATATTCCTTCTACTTTTTTGACTCTAGGTGCCCCTCCTGTAGCTTTCCCGCACTGTTGGACAGTGATGTGAAGAGGTTCAGTTGTCCTAATCCTCGCTGCCGAAAGGTAGGGTGGCAAATTTTTTTCTAGGTGTGTATTTGAATTATGGTATCGTGGGCTACTCTAATGGCCCAAATATCTGCTGTTTATCTACTTGCTGATACTTGAAAAGGATTTGAGTGCTCTCTTTTTTGAAAGCAAATGAAGATTGGTACTTTGTGAATGATGGTTGTGATCTCTGGTTACAGAGATGGGGACCACTTGTGAAATTCCAGTTACAAAGCTCTGCATTCCTGTTTTATGTCATATTCTTACAAGGACAGATGTTGTAATGTAAAATGTGAAAGGTTTTGTTTTCCTTCCACTGTATTAGCATTTTTCTTGCTTGCTCTTTCCCCCACTCTGTGCTCACTGTGTACCCCCCCACCCCTGACACACACACACATACACACACATACTTTTTGTCATTTTCAAAGTCCAAGCAAATGGACTTTGATTAAAGAACTGGGCATAATGGTGGCATCTCTGTCACATCTGGTAGGTTATGTATTTGACTGTTTGCCTCATAAGAACTGACTATATCAGGTGAAACCAGAGCTATCTAGGCACCTGAGTGCTGCAAATCTTTCTTCTCTTTAACTAGGCTCCTACTTTGTGAACTAAGAATGTCTTAAATTTTCTCAACTATTTATAAGTCACTTACAGTTTTTTAGTGAATCTTAACATCCACCTAGACAAATATATTTTAAGCCATTTTTCTAAAACTGTGTGATTAGAGTTGAACATTGCAATAGCTCTGCCTTGAGGAGAGTGAAGAAAGTAAGGTAGAGTTTGGAAAAGGAAGAAGAAACTAAACTAATGGACCAAAACGTTATTCCTTTGTTTTTAACTTTAATATTTCTATATGAAATCTGGATGTATTCTTAATACTGATATAGCCATTTAATAATTTGTCCATACCCAGGCTATTGCTATAACAATTGTCCCAACAGCCTCTAGCATCTTGGAACTAAGAAAGTAGAATAATAGACTGTCCCTTGTGTGCTTCCAGTGTGTCAGGTAGTGGAATGCTTGGGAAGGTAATGCCTGAGCTAAGATACAGAGAGGAAGGAGGAAGTAGCCAAGGGAAGGAAAGGGTAAGGGGTAGAGTGAAGATGGAGAAATGTTCTAAGCCCAAGAAGCAGCAGTAGCAGCCTAGACACTTACTGGTACCAAAAGTGGCAAGGAGGCTCATAAGCTGGGTAGGGGCACAGCCATGCAGCATTCTGAGGTGAGGGGAGAGATAAAATATGAGGAAGTTCTGTTTGGCTGTTGAGTAGTCCAGCTGAGGATTGTACATCACTGCCACCTCCTCTGGGGTCTCTATGAATTGCTAAAAAAGAGCTAGGAACTACATTTCCTGGTAAGGTTCCAAATTAAGTCTGCCAGTGAAAGTGTTAATGAAGAAAATGATGAGGTTCATAAATTTGGAAAAGAGAGCTTTTGTTCTAATAAAGGGTTGCACCCTGTGGGTGGCCATTCCAATAGACTGAGAAACAGAGCCTTGGCCAGAAGCCAGAACATGTGCTTCCATGCAGGGACAATGGGAACAGGAATTTACACTGAGCAGGATGGCCAAAAATACATATTTAACAAGCTACAGAAGGAGTCATGAATATTTATGAAAGGAGAAACATGTGCATGTGCAGTCAAGCTTTATGTGCTTTTATGGGGTCCATGTTCAGAAAATGGCAGCCCTCTTGTGTCAAAAGGTGAAGCAAGGACACAAAAACCTTCTCTGTGTATACTATATAGATTGTAGTGGTTAAAACCACTCCATGGTTAGTGGTCTGGATCACAAGATTGGTTACTGTTTAGCTCATAGGGAAAAAGCCTGATGGCCATTAGTAAGGTATAATGAGGCATGTCTGACCTCCCATCCCATCATGGCTGGGAACTCAGTTTTAAGTTTTCTCTGGGATCCCCTTGGCTAAGATGGGGTCAGTTTAGTCAGCAAGGGGCTTAGGATTTTATTTTAGTTCACAAGAGCCAAAGAGAAGGAGGGGCCATTGTTCTCTGAAGATATTTAGAAGCAGCCTAAGGGTACACATAAGTCTGAAACAGCGTCCAGTGAGTGTGTTGAGAACATCAACTTGGGATGTTAGCAGAAGCTTCCCAGAGGCTCTTAAGATCCCAGGCAGGAGCTTTGTGTCTGTGGGAGGAATATCGATTCCCTGCTGAACTTGGAGGTGGCCATGTAGCTTCTTTTGGCCAATGAAATGCAAGTGTGAGTAAGTAGGTTGCTTGCAGATAAAGCCATAAAGGCATATGGTTTCGGGTACTCTTAGCAAGATGGTGGAATAGGGAGCCCCAGCCCTCCTTCTCCCATGGCAACAAAAATTCAACAATATATGGACCATTTCTCTTTGTGAGAAATCCAGAAACCAGTTAAAAGGCTCCTGCACCCTATGTGAGCATAAAGCCAATAGGAGAACTAGTGATACTTGCACTTCAGAGCTGCTCCCCTGCCATAGCACAATGTGATTGGGAGGAAACTCCCAATTCCTGACATCTCCCTGGGAAGGGTAAAAGAAGACTGGAACATATATCTAACATTCATATTTTTCAGGGGGCTACCCAAGGGACTAGTTTCTGTCTTATCTGACAGGATAGGAGGCCACTGAGAACAAATGCCGTGGTGGAACTAGCACAAACTAACTCCCCATTTCCTTCCCCCAACTCAGAACAAACAGGAGAAAATTCCCGACTCTCTGCTTTTCCCCAGGGAGCGTGAGTCCAGCATTCTAGGTTTTCAGGAGCCTACCCAAGATTCTCGTTTCTGTTTTACCTGAGTCGGAGTGCGATGACACCTGGCATGTTCTAGATGCCTGGAGCTGCCAAGAACAAAAGAAAGCTGGGTGAATTGTGCTCCTTCAGAGGACCTATAGTACGGTAGATAGAGCCCAGTACACCTCAAAGGCTTCTCAGGTAGGGAGGAAGGGAAGATTAGAACATCTTTGCAGCATTTGGGCTTCTCAAGGGGCTGCATAAGGGACTTGTTTCTGTCTCACCCAACTCAGAATGCTGTCAGGACCCAATGTACTCTAGATGTCTGGGAGCTGCTGAGACCAAAAAAGAGCTGGAAGAGTTGCAGCAGCTCCAGAGAGCCTGCAGTACCTCAGACAGATGGTAGGAGAAGCAAGAGTTACAAGTTGCTAAAAAAGACAAAAAACAAAAGCTTTGCAAACCCTCTTTAATTCGGAATTTACACGTACAAATTCAGAGAGATACATACACAGAAAAGGTTTGAGAGGCCTCCAGAATCTCTCAGGCTGATTGGTAAAGGTCTTTCCCTGTACCAAACCAATCTGTAAAGACTGGGAATGGTGGGTATTTTTTCAAATGTACAGGTACCAACACAAAGTAACAAGGCACACACATAAAAAAACAAGGAAAATGGCCCAACCAAAGGAACAAAATAAATTTCCAGACACCTACTGTAAAGAAATGGAGATGTAGGAATTACCTGACAAGTTCAAAAGCAGCCGGGCATGATGGCTCATGCCTGTAATCCTAGCATTCTGGGAGGCCGAGGCGGGTGGATCGCTCAAGGTCAGGAGTTCGAGACAAGCCTGAGCAGGAGTGAGACCCCGTCTCTACTAAAAAATAGAAAGAAATGCTCTGGACAACTAAAAAATATATATATAAAAATTAGCCGGGCATGGTGGCACATGCCTGTAGTCCCAGCTACTCGGAAGGCTGAGGCAGAAGGATCGCTTGAGGTTGCTGTGAGCTAGGCTGACGCCACGGCACTCTAGCCCGGGCAACAGAGCAAGACTCTGTCTCAAAAAAAAAAAAAAAAAAAAAATTCAAAGGCACCTTCATAAAGATGTTCGTGGAGCTCAGGAATATGATGCATGAACAAGATGAGAACATCAACAGAGAGATAGAAAATATTTAGAAGAACCAAATTTTGGAATTGAAGATTAGAGTAACTTGAAAAACTCACTAGGATTCAACAGTAGACTTGATCAAGCAGAAGAAAGAACCAGCAAACTTGAAGACAGGTCATTTAAAATTATCCAGTTAGAGAAGCAAAAAGAAAGAATGAAGAGTGATTTTTTAAAAAACGTAGGAGACTTACTAGACCAATATATACATTATGACAGTGTCAGAAGGAGAAGAGAGAGAGAAGGGGGTAGAAAGATTATTTGAAGAAATAATGGCTATAAAATTCCCAAATCTGGGGAAGGAAATGAACATTCAGATTCAAGAAACCCAGCAGACTCCAACTAAAATGAACCCAAAGAAGACTACACCAAGACACATGATCAAATTGTCAAAAGTCAGAGACAGAATTTTGAAAGCAGCAAAAGAAAAATGACTTGTCACGTACAAGGGAGTTCGCATAAGATTATCAGCAGATTTCTCCACAGAAACCTTACACACCACAAGGGAGTGCAATGGTTTATTCAAAGTGCCAAAAGGAAAAAAAAAACCTGCCAACCAAAAACAATATATTTAGCAAAACTATTCTTCAGAAGTAAAGGAGAAATTAATATATTCCCAAATAAACAAAAGCTAAGGGAGTTCATCATCACTCTGTCTGCCTTACAAGAAATGCTAAAGAATGTCCTTCAAGTTGAGAGAAAAATATTCTAGATTAACAACATGAAAGCATGTAAAATTATAAAGCCTGTTGGTCAGTAACTACGTAAACAAATACGTAGAGGACTGTATATGTATCCAACATCAGTGTACTCAAATATGTGAAGCAAACATTGACGAAAATGAAGGGAGAAATAAATAGCAACAGAAAAATAGGAGATTTCAGTACTCTACTTTCAGTAGTGGATAGAACAACCAGACAGAAGATTAATAAGGAAATAGCTGACTTTAACAACGCTATAGACCAAATGGACCTAACAGACATATACAGAACATTCTACCCAACAGAAACAGAAGCACATTTTTCTCTAGTGCACATGAAAATATTTCAGGATAGAGAATAAGTCACAATATGTCTTAACAAATTTAAGATCAAAATCATACCAGTATCTTTTCTGACCATAAAGGAATGAAACTAG